CCTCCACTTGTGTTAATTCATTTAAGAGTAGACTGGGCATGCATCAAGCACAAATACAAACCATGTAAAAACTACTACATCACATTATACTGTATCATACTTCGCTGTATCACATACACTGCATCAAATTATACTATTCATTATTTGCGAGTAGTCATATTTGTTTTCTGCCATATTTTGTTACGATTTGACTCTGGTGTCTTCCCGGAACATGTAATTGACGTAATTTTTAAATTTTTCTTTGTATCCATTTATTCCCTATCATCTTGTTACCAACAGGGCGTTCAAAGGCGCTCGCCTATCTTCCCCTCAATAAACTGATGCTGATACTGAAATAGGCTACACACCAATATCGACTCTATATCGAAATTTAAAGATTAAAATAAAACCGTGAAAGATTGACTTTTCGCTCACTTTTTAAAAGTTGCAATAGCTTTTAATACGCCTCGACAGATATTTTAGTACAATAAGCCGAAAAGTAACCGCATATAACTATAAAAAGTACCTTGAATTAAAAATATAACTAAAACTATAACCAAAATTAACCTATTAAGTCAAAAAATAACCTAAAAACTAAACTAAGACTTATAAAACTACGATTAACTGCAGGAAGAATAAAATTTCCGTTTTAGTGGGTGCAGCAATAAGCATAACTACGCCTTCGAAAACACATGTGGTAATTATTTAAGTATAGTTGTATAACACTCACGGGCAATTTAACAGTTACCGGCAAAGCAATGATTTCCTAGGCAGACACGCATAAGATGTCCAGTTGCATTAACCAGTCAAATATGAGGATGTATCGTTTTAGTTAGTCTTTTGGTTCAGGTAACATTTCGCCCCCCTCTCCTCCCCCCCCCACTATCCGTATGTCTGAGCCCTCTCCAACCACAAGATCGACTAATTACTGCGCAGAAGAATAGACTCACGGGTGGTCCACGTGCTTCAGTGGCTTCATTGCTGCCTGTGCTCGCCGGAGTATCTGCAGACACCAGACCATTGCACCAGCCGACGGGGGCAATGACTTGCAGATGGCCTTCTTCATTAGCGTCTCATCGTCCAAATGGCTATCCAAGACAAGTTTGCATTCATCCAGTTCTCCATGAAGGCCCTCCAATAGCTGCTTGTAGCATGGCTCAAAGCTCGGCGCAATCAAAGGTCGTTCCAGGAGTGGACCGTACATGTAGATGGTCTTGAACATCCCACAGACTGTTCCACTGTGCATAAAGGACTTGAGTATGATTGTGCAAAGCCGGTGATCAAACTGTTCAATGGTTTTGTTGTACTCTTTCAGAGCATTCAGGAATGTATCGTCGTCTGTGGAGAGGCAGTCCATGGAGGCATCGGTGAATTTCTTGTAGGCCTCAAGGTATTCCTCATAGATTTGAGCCAGACGACTAGAGAGAACTGCCCCAACCACTCCCAGAGCTTCCACCTTTTCCAGTCGATTATAATCGATGTTCGTGAGGAAATAGGCCTAAATGGATTCAATTTTAAACATAAATTTCACCTTCCAAAAGGAATTCATACGTATTAGTCTACCCAAAATGCCTTAAGCCGCAGACCATCAACTATGACTACAAATACCGACGGCTCCTCTTTGAAGTTTTTAATCAGGTGAAACGTGAGAATCTTACATGATACTTACACGGATCATTTCCAACCGTTCCACAAAGGCATCAACGCGTCCAAAGACCCACGAAGAATGGAAGACCCATTCAGAAGGTTCCACATTTTGTTCGTTGCATGACTCCTTAACATTGGTTCTGTAGTCCTCCACGACCTTACGGAAATGTTTGAATATTTCAATTGACTTGTTCAACTTCTTCATAGCTTCCTCTGGCTCCTCTTTAATGCACTCCGAGGGGTCAAGGAAAAGCCGGGCCTAACAACGTAAACAGGTGTAACCATGTGCGGCGTAATGTTAGATGGTAAAATGTGAAGGCAGAAGATGCCTATATGGGAAAACGACAGCAGACTTGACTTTGGGTTCTCCTGCTTCGAATTTGCATCTAACTTAACGCGCATAACGTCAACAATTTTCAGCAGTGAATCTTTACCGAAGTATTTAGTGAACTCAGTGGTGGGCTACGGATAAGAGGATGGTTAACAAGGGACTAGACGTATTGTTAATGGACGGAGGGTATGTAAATATAGGTCATTGGAACAGGTCCGTAGATTTTATGGAGTTTAAAATATATTAGTTTGAGACCCCTACTGCCCTGATTTGGTAAAGGTTTATAGCCAATCCTACTCAGAAGCATAGTTTCCAAAGTTATTTCTCCATCGCCTGCTTTTACTCTGAGCTAACACAGTGAATGATCGAAACGGAGTATCTCTAAGCAGTCTAACCAACAGAAACTTGTGAACTTATAGAATATTCACACGCACCTGTTGTATCAGCAAATTGCCAATCTCAGTTATAATTATAACCATTCTCTCCGTCTTCCGGTAGTACTCACAGTTCACCCAAATAAGGGCAAGTATATGGACAATAGGTTGAATACTGGGTTTGACTTCATCAAATTGTGTGTTTTCAAGTTCACCCAGGTAGTTGATTAAGGGCGTCAAAAAGGCAACTATTGTCTCCGACTCCACCACGGCTGAAATAAAAAAGGAGCAAGGACCTTATACGCAAATCCATTGAGAATATAGAGCACAGGGACTCCTGTAAAATATGAAGGGTGAGTATAGTAACACTCGTTTATGAAAGTTCATTGACCGTTACTGGAACTCACTTGTCCCGCTCCGCCTTTTGCCTTGGGCCTCATTGCTCTGGCCTTGACAACAACTATAGCAGTAACTTTTATAGGCAGACAGTATTGCCGGAAAAAACAAGGGAGACTGGAATAGTCATTTCTGGCTTATTAGCCGTTGTCAGCCAGTCATACACAAGTTGTGCATCAGTCGAGGCTCGAACTCGCGACCTTTTCGATCAGAGTTTAACGCCCTAACCATTGAGCCTCGAATGGTGCACCACTTGTGTATGACTGGCTGACAACGGCTAATAAGCCAGAAATGATTATTCCAGTCTCCCTTGCCTTTACCGTCAATAATACCTTGTGATAATGTTAGTTTTATCAGTGGAAAAAATCGGTGAGGCAACTAACAGAGTGTATAAAAGGCATTGAGGACGCCCGCACTTCTAGCATAAGTTTTGTTTTTTACTCTAATGAGTTGCTGGAACACACACAATATAAAAAATGTAAATTAGCGACGTTTAAAAGAGCAGAAATCAGAACGACCAAAGTCGCTTCTTAAAGAACGTCGAATTGGGTAGCATGGTCTGTGGCAGGCAACTTTAACCCCTACCCCGACCCTAGCTCTTCATCCAATCATATTTTTTAACCCACCTCTAACTTTAGACCTAACCTTTACCTACCCCACTTAGCATTTTATTAAACTCAGTCAGAAACGCCCCTTCTACTAAGTCAAATAAGTAGGCATTTTATAATAATAAAGATGAAAAATGTACGCATTAGATCGTGGTCAAAAAAGGAAATTAGATATACTGTAAAGCCTCTAACGACTGTAAAAGTAATCTTCATATGTTTCAGCACAAGCTATTCACTGACATCAGTTTAATACTCCCTGTGTTGAGCAAACGGTCAGAAACCTAGAGTAATTTACTGTAAAGCTGTAGTACCAGAAGCAGCTTCGGCGAAAGCACCTTGACATAAACAAGCATTCGCCTACGTATCCATAGTTCGAAGAACAACTGTGCTGATGTAAAAGGAGGCTTATGAAAGTTGATGCCAGCGCACCTGCATGTAATGGAGCACTTTTTATGTGGTAGAAGCCTTTAGTTTGCAGTATCTTTTACAGGCGACATTGCACAATATGTGCCCTAATCAGACGTCAAGGTTACTACCGGCTGCTAGTGCCGCAATTTAGTTGCGATCAGAATAACCTTTTGGACGACTATTAAGTAATGATTTGGTCTAATGAAGTTTGCCGAAATAGCTTGCATAACACGCAACCTACCATTTTTCTACTCTCTATTCGCATGTAAGTGTCTTACATATAAATCGGTTGGTCTATGGCGCTCAGTATAAACTGACTTTAACCCTCTTTTTAATCCTTATTACAACAATTAGATTAGAAGCGTACGACTCCAGCGCCGTTTTGAAGGAAGCCCTTTACGTATCACTCAAGGACGATTCGTCATGACGTTGGCAATTCAGTATTCGATCATCGTGCATTGCTTCTGATCTCCCGTTGTTATTTGGTTAATGTGCTTAATTTTATTCACGACGAATGGAGGATGTTTTGCTGAAATTGTGTAATTATATTTTCTGCTGGGAATGTGCCCATCCCCACGATTACTCTGTTAGGCTCATGGCTATGTCATTGACTGAACTCACTTCACCCAAGTAATCTTCCCCAGTGGATAGTATCCATTCAACAGAGTGGTTTCCCTCGAGCATATAATTACGTTTTCTGTAATTGTGCGGTATATTTATCTACTCAATAATGTCTGGGATCAGAGTCTGACGTTCCTTTACAGTCTTGCACACAGAACAAAAATTGATTTCACTTACCTCTCACGACCTTCTTGAACATCTCCTTAAAGGGCGCAGCATATGCGCTCTGGTGCTCTTCTAGAATGCTTGCCATCTTTTTCACCTTTGGGTGCACGAGCTGATCATAAATGTCGTGCATGCAAGTCATTCGTTGGTTCCAAAAGTCGTACTCATACATCGGCATTGGAGCCTGGCCCTCGGCAACTGGTTGACCCGAGTCCTGTGCGAGAATTTCATTGATTTGATTGCTCCATTCCACCACCGTCGTCTCGATGGCATACAGCAGACTTCCGATGACATCGTCGCCGCTTAATAATCAGGTACATCGAATAAATGAGGTAGAGCTTTATCAGTAAGTATTCTACAAAGTTAGATAATAAGGGGAAACTTCCTGTGTGACGTTAAGTTTCAGTCCCTTCTCGAAAGACGAAAGCTCTTCATTTAGCCCAACCCCTGTCTAGTTCTCTTGATTGCTTACCATATCAGCATCCCAATATTCTGCTGTGAATAGCCTTTGTCACTCGTTGATAAACGCTCAGCGGTCGCTATCGGAACTCACGCGCCCCGCTGTGGTTTGGGGCTCACTCCCGGGCCCTGCCAGCAGCCAGGCGGCGGCTAGTAGTGTAGGCAGATAGCATTGCCGGTGACAGTTCATCAACGAGTGACAATATTTCCGACCCAATCCTGCAAGACGAGCCCAGAGCTCAATGATTAGATCGTTGGTCTTCTGATCAAAAGGTCGCGGGTTCAAGTCTCGGATGGGGCACGACTTGGGGTTGGGTATGACTGGCCATACAAAAAGAGATATGATGTGCAAGTGAGTTCCACGGATCGAAGACCAAATGAAAGCATCTAAACAACCGGACCGGGACTTGCAAGTTTACAGGACGCAGTTTCTCTCAGCATTAAAGCAACCCACCTACATATCCCTCAAATATACTGATACTGATTACATAGGCCCTCCAGGAAGCGAGCCTTACTCCTGGGTGAGTGAATACGAATTTTACATGTGTGGACGTGTTTGCCACTGTCTCATTTCGCTGAGTCCAGCTTCGAGAGCACTACGTTAGTGCCACGGATCGGAACCATATATTTCGATCGCACTGCCGAATGGTGGAACCGCGCTTTTGGTCAAGGACGCACGTGGCTGATAACCGTTGGGCTCTGCGATTGTCCCGACCTACTTTTTGTGACTTATTTATCGCCACTGGTCGGCTCCACTCCAATCATAGGCCGGAAGGACCTAGAATTTCTGCCAATTTCATTTATCACTGGTTCTTAAAACACTTCATCTTTGATTCACGCATTCGGTAGGGGACTCTGCTTGACTCGCGCTGCAG